AATATGGTCTGTAGATCAGTGAATTGCTTCCACTGAGGGGATCAATTAACTGGACCTATAATCTTAAGGTCAAAATAAATTTGAAGGAAATATGTCAATGAAGAATCAAGATCACCTAGCAGTTTCTTGAACCCTATTTTACAGCTGTAATTTCACTGAGAACAGCTACTAGGTAGTACAATTTGGTCAATATTCTACGATCTCATCAGGATGTACAATGAGTACTAATAGGGTAGAGAAGTGTTCACATTCATGTACTATATTGATGGGACGTATTGACCGACTGGAGTCATATGCAAATGTAAAAGGCCTTGAGGCCTGGCCAACTTTGCCAAAGGCCTACCTGAAACTGCATGTGTGGTTGCTTGGACACTTTCCAATTCCTGCTACTTCTATACCAGGACAGTTTCCTGATACCAAACCATTTGTGACCATTGGTTGACACTCCTGACTTCTAAAGTGCATATGCATGTACAGATCAATTGCAAGGCACACTGTTACCTTCCTTTACATTACCAGAGTGTTAATACTTCTTTCCAAAATTGCTTTCTTAAGTTAGAGATACAAGACAATGACTGCGAGCAAGTTAAAGGCACATTACATACAACTGTTATGCTATAAATTACCATAAGTCCCTCTAATTCAAGGAATCCCTTTGGAAGTGTGAGCAATCTCTTCAGTAATTACCAATAATGACCACTACTCAGATTAACAGCTCTATTTTGTTTACAAGAATTGATGTAATTAATATTTCAGGGCTACAAAGTAACAAAGTTAACATAGCATGCACCCCTGGGCTGACTGCAAATGCAAGTACCCGAGAACAGGGACCATATATTCACTGGTGCTCAGATGACAACTTACTCTCTTCTGGAATATCATGGTTACTGAACATAAATGGAGAAGTTTAGTCATCCAAAATGTATCGCTATACTTATCTCTTATCTCATATGCCCAGTCAACTACCGGTACTGTAGTACAATATAATTGATGTGACACTTCCTTGTAGCCATATTCCAGCACATATGTATTGAACAATGGCTGTATCTGAAGCAGTCTGACACAAATACATTTAATAATATTTTAGTAGAGCTGAAAAAACAGTTGTCAGAAAATGAAAAATAATGACTTGTGGGTTTCTGTCCATTGTAACCACACAGTCATATATCAATTTGCACCTTTCCCTCCCTTCCCCAGTTTCCAGGCTGTGCCTTCATCAATCCTTCCTTGTACACTCTAAAGACGACATGTCAATCGTTCAGGTGAGAGGGGATTTCCTCCTTAATGGGGAAGTCCTAAACAGTGTGACAGGTCAGACTTCTTAACCTTCAGCCTGCTAAGGTACTGTAGCCATTTGCCATCAAATTTGTATCGGTTGATAATGGTGTAGCATAAAGCGTATTAGCATTGAGCAGTACATGTGTATAACATACATTTGTATGGTATTACGATTGTAAAGTTATCATCCTCCTACAGCAAGGGCTAGATATTCTTTTTATCACCGTACCTGCATGAAATAAGTGTTGCCTTAAATCAGATCATATTAAAAGAGATACATTTGTATTACCAGCTTAGTTCTCTACCTTTTGCATGTACTTTTTCCATACATTTTAGTAACTTTTAAGTATTACTGTGAATCCTAAATTTTCAGTCCAATTGTTTAATTATATCTAATGATATATATGATAACATTGATATCAATATGGTAAATGTCAAGCCTTTTTGCCTTGTCCATTTACCTGTTATTTTGTTTGCAATTTGTTTTACTGACAATTGTACACAACATTACCACCTTGAGTCATTGATCAGTTATTATTGGACGATTGATAATTGATTGATAATTGATTAAATAACTAATTTAGATCATTGATTAAAAAATTGAACAACTTTCAGACATGCAGAGAGAAAAGGTTCTGGCAATTTGATTACAAGTTTTTGATTTGCTGACAATTTAATAGTGTGACTTCATCTTTCCTTGTAGAGTGACAAATATACATGTACCCACTTTTACATCAGTATCCTCTAGTTCTCCTGAAACAGGTCTAGGAACAGGTGGTCTGTGTCCCAAAACATTCCCAGGTACTTTAGCCAGCCCTGGCATTTTCCTAAAGGGTGCCGACCTTTCTTCAACAGCCTGACAAACAAACAAAATTGTAAAGACATCATGATATCTTTCTTGTCTGATATCTATCTATTATGTAATGCTGGCACAAAAAGATGTACTTTATTCTAAGACAAACTAGTTTATGCCAATAATTTACAATAAATGTGATACAGTCAGTGTTCATACCATCTTGTATCAGCTTTTACCATCTGTCCATGCCCCTGATGTCATCGATGTCAATTTTCTATCAATACGATTTACCCCTGGAGGTCCAGTCCAAACACCATATAAAAGCAATCAAAATCTGCACTCTTTCTGCAGTTTCAGATATCAAAGTCTGGTTTACAGTGGGCTGTTGAACGATACCATGAAAGCCTAACTGAAGGGAAATTTCCCTGGAGCAAGCCTGTGGTACAAATATATTTATACACCAGCCTGAGTGTAATTCAAGCCTGGCCTTGGTCTATGTTTCTGGGGATGAATCAACATCACATTTGAATGGCTCAGGCTGTATGTTTCTAAGTGACCACCTGAAAATAGATGATTAGTGCATCATACTGAACAAGAAAAGGAGATAAGGCAATTCATGTCACTTTTATCATCAACACCAGTGATTTATTTACAAGATAAAGGCATGCTTGTATCTTAAGTGCAAAAGTGCAAAAGCAAACTAGCATTTTGTCCTACAACTATCAAAATATGTATGTTGTAATGTTCATGTATGCATGTATCATATAATGGCAAATTGGTGCAACGTGTGCTGAGTCTGATGTAGCACAATATCATGTATTTCCCTTCCAGGGAGCAAATTCTAGCATATAGATTTAGACTTCCTCCATATACCAATGATTTTATTTTCAGATTTATTACATTACACCTTATGACTTCATCATGCATATGTCTGAACTAGATTGCACTTGTAGACTGTGGTAGAGGCCACTACTGAATTCGAAGGTATCAATTTCAATAGTGAAGAGAGATGCCCTTGGCACTGTGAACTGTTCATTACACCAGAGGGTACACCCTGCCATGTCTGTACAGCCATCTGTCACAATCTCATTCTCATCACTCTTCAGTCAGCTGATACATGCAGAATTGATAGATTTGGAAGATTAGTTTCATGTGGGGATATCTAAATTTCATGTATCATATGTTTAAGTTCTATCTATAAACAGCATATTATTTTTATATAACTTGTTACAGTACATGTACATTCAGAAATGTGATGCATCATGTCACAATTTTTGTGGGGATGTTTGTGGGAGAAGAGGAAAATATATTCACAGATCATCCACAAAATCAATAACGTGTGGCCTAAGCTGGCATTTTGGAATTGGTCTCCTGAAGGTACATGTAGATGTAATGAGCTCCCACATGTCTGAGTGGTCTGCACCAAGAGTGTAATGACCCTGCAGGCCCTGAGTTCTCCACTCCAAAATGGTAGTTGAGATTCATTTTACATATTTGGTTCTTACATGTGCATGTGCCCTCAAATTCAGTGGCTATGTCCGTAATTTACACCTGCAGTTTGTGAGACGGTTGAAAAGTAAGGGTCAAAGATGCACATCTTGCACTGTAGATCTCAGATTCTTAAGTACCCACTTGTAAGATTTTGTATTTGTAAGGAGTATTTATGTTTGCAGTAAATAGGCCTGCTGACCTTT